TCGATGGGTATGCCTTGTAAGAGCGGGTCCGATTAAGGCCAGGTGGCACGTTGTGGGAGTATTTCTGGAGTTGAGTTGTTGTAGGCTTCGAGGGCGAAGCCTAATTTAAGTGGGGGAGAATTGTAACATCCCGAAATATCAAGAGTAGAGTTGAAGGGCTAAAAGAGTAAATTGGGAAAGAGTGACTCGGCGAGTCCATGTGCAGACTCGGCGAGTAGAGTCGCGACCTGGTCGCGTGTTAAGTGGCCGACTCGGCGAGTCAGTGTAATGGACTCGGCGAGTAGGCGCTAAGTGGAGAAAACCCTAATTCTCGGGGTTGAGCCTTATATAAAGATCACTATGTTTTCCTCCCAGCCTCTTTATCACCCCTTGAGCCCCAGAAAACCCTAAATCACGGAGAAGCACCATTGTTGAGTGGATTGGAGCTTGGAGAAGTAATGGTTGAAGGAATTTTGGGAGATTGAAGGCTTGGAGCAAGGGGATTTGCTTGGATTCGAATTTCATTGCAGTTGGGGCATCACTTAGAGGTAATATCTCGTTATTGACCTGTTGTTATGTTGTTTCTTCATTTTGGGGTTTGTGAGAAATTGTCTATGGATGAAATGGGAAGTCTAGAGGTTAGATCTGAGGTTGCTACCTCAGATCTGGAAGGGAGAAGAATTAGAGAGCATGAAAGTCCCTGTGTTGGAGTGTTTAGTGAAGCTTACATGTCCCAAACCCTAGCCCCAATGTGCAAACGGCTTAGATCTCTTTGGATTCACGTAAAGTTTGCCACTTTACGTGATGGATGGGTTGTAGGAGGCTAGATCTATGTTTTGGATCAATTGCATGGCCTGGAGTGCTTCTGAATGGATTCAGAACGGTGCTACTCGGCGAGTCACATGGGTCGACTCGACGAGTTGCTTGAAGATGGCCTGGAACTCGACGAGTTGGAAGAACAACTCGGCGAGTAGGTTGAAGATAGCCTTGGACTCGACGAGTCTTGTCAAAGAGTCCCAAATATTCTCTGGTTGAGCCGAGAATCGGTGAGTCGAGGGATGACTCGGTGAGTCGAGTGCGAATGGACTCAGAGTTGTTGGACTCGGCGAGTCTCGGGGTGACTCGGCGAGTTAGGTCGCAGATTGAATGAAGTTCTGATTATGGGAACTCGACGAGTCACAGGGTTGACTCGGCGAGTAGGGTCAGTCAAGGGTTGACTTAGACTGAGGACTTTGATTTCGACCAAGGGTTGGCCGTTGACTTTTAGGGTTTGGTCAGCGATGTGGCCTTTGGGCCAAGAGAGAGGTAAAATAGTCTTTTAACCATAAGAGGGTGTTATGAGAGGATTTATTATAGTCTCGAGAGTTATATTCATGAGAGTATTTGCCTTACGTGTTAGGCGGTGGCGAGTTCGAGATTCAAGTGTGGGAATATCTGCTTCCTGCTTGCCAGGTGAGTTTTCTCACTATACTTTACCTTGAGTAGGTAACCAGAGTTATGTGATTAGAGTATTTGTATGCTATATGTACGTGATGTGTTGTACTGCATTATTTCTATGTGATTTATGCTGTGCATGTTTATAGAGTTGGAACCAGAAGGTTCCCAGAGTTAGAACCTGAGGGTTCACAGAGTTTGGGTGCACGGACCCACAGAGTTATAGCCTCGAGTGGCTAATATGTGTTATGTGTGGTATTTTGGGGAACTCACTAAGCTCCGTGCTTACAGTGTTTTGTTTGATGTTTTTCAGGTTTCTTTCAGTATCACGGGACGGCACCGGCTTGATTGTACACACCAGAGAAAGAGTCATATTTTGGAGGATCCTGGTTTTCTATGCAAGTGAAAATGGAGTTATGTTTTGTAAATCGACTATGAATAAGATTTTAAACAAGTGTTTCTAAGAGTAAAATGATTATTTTAAATGAAAAAATTGTCTTGAAATTTACGGTGTTACATTATGAATGTCTAACCACCTCCCAAAACATGAATTATGGAACGTAGTCTCGCATGTCGGCCAGTATGTCACAAGAATATCCCTACCGATTTTGGGTTTACAAGACAATGTAATTGATATATCAAAACCTTGTCGTGCTACAATCAAACGGATGTTATAAACAGACTCAGGAACAAAAAATGACCAACATTGCGGACCATTTCTTAGTGTTCTACACCTGTTCGTCGTGTTCCAGACCAGTTCCTCGCATTCCGAAGCGTTATGGAATGTAATTTTATGTACTGGAACACTAGATTTCGATGTATACTAACATTACATAAACAACTAAACGACTTTTAGGTTTGTCCTAATGCAATGAAATCTTATATTGCAACTCCGAAACATTTTCAGTTCATTCCGGAGGTGTTCTTCGAATTCCGGAATGCAATGTTTTGTTTCGAAACAATACTTTTCGGTGAATAATCACATCATACAAACGACTAAACTAGGTTTGGGTTCGCCCTCATACAGTGGCGTCTTCTATTGCAACTCTGGAACGTTTTCAGTTCATTTCAGAGGATATAAGTATAAACATAAATCTTAAGTGATTAAAGAACTTATCCATAAAACAACTGGACCATAGTGATCGTCTTTCATATCGGAGTGGCGCGTCGGAGATATGAATCGGGATCAGAGAGTCAGAATCAGAATCGAAATCACGTGTCGGATATCGGAATCGGAAAGTCGAAGCAGGATCCGGAATGAAGTCAATATCCAAATTCTTTTCATAATATATTCTAGAATTTGAAATTCTAATATGAGGTCCGGAATACGTACGGATACTCCGGAATGGCCATTCCGAAAAATATGATTATTTTGCAAAATTTAATTTAAATGGGTTAATTATTTTAAAAAGCACACAAAAAAGTGATTAGTTTATTAAATTTTTCAATAGAAAATGATATAATAATCTTTTTATATATGTTAGAGACAAAAATCGTAAGTACTATCCAAAATTTTAAAAAATAAAAATAAATAAATAATAAAAATAAATAAGGACCGTGTAAATTATCTAAAAAGTTAAAATAAATATTAATAAAAAATCAAACATAAAATATTAAATTACTAATTTTAAATTAATTATAAAACAATATAAAATGGAAAATGGACTTAATAATTTAATTAACTTTTCGGTTTGTTCAGGTATGAGTAACTATCTTTTTTTTGTACATATCTAGGCAACGAACTTTTTGGAAGTGTTCACATATGACTATGGATGAGCATAGGCGGGTACCCGCCTCATTTGGCGAGAACCGAAATCGGCGATTCCTAGAAAGTTAGAACTGGAACTGAAACCGCTCTAAGCAGTTCTTAAATTTTTGAAACCAGTCCCGGAACCGGCGGTTCCGGTTCTGGGAGCGGGTAACCCAGTTACATTAATTTTCTTACCTTTTATCGATAAATTTGCAATTTAGTTCGATCCAAATCGAATCAAGTCGGGCCAAGGACGGACAAAATCGAACCAATATATTCTAAATCGATCTAAATAACACACACACACACACACACACACATATATATATATATATATATATAAGAACCGGAACCAGAACCGCTTAACGCAGTTCCATAACTTTAGGAACCGGAACCGTTTAAGGCGGTTCCAGTTCTATAACCGGCAGTTCCGAAGCGGTTCCGGTTCCAAAAGCGGGTACCCTGTTCTGATGCTCATCCATACATATGACCATTATGACCGACTTACATCCGGTCATAATGGTCATATATAAACACTTCCAAAAATTTCGTTACGTAGATGTCTACAAAAAAATATAGTTACCCAAATATGAAGAAACCGAAAATGTAAGAGTAAATTACATGAATGGTCTCTGTAGCTTGGGTAATTTGTGCGTTTGGTCCCTGACTTATTTTTTAACTTGGATGATCGTTACCGTTTATTTTTGTAGTGCGTTTGGTGTTTGTCTTACCTCAAAACACTATTGTGCCATTTTTAATTTATTTTTTAATTAATTTTCTTATTTATGTATTTATTTTTTATATAATTTAAAAAATTAATAGAACTCTTATATTTGTATCTCCTCACGCTAAACCTGAAACAACATTCGAGAAATTTAAACTTGATTCAACCAATCACCATTCTATTTGTCATCCTCCTCAACTTTTCTTTTATTTCCATTTTTAATGATATCAACGTTTTCACTATCCATTTTTTTCGGTCCTTCAACTCCGGCGAAACAACACCATCACTCTTCTATTGGGTTGTGGTGGTGGAAAATTCAATGAATAGACGGTGGGTTGTGGGTTGGTTCGTCAAATTTGAAGGACCGAAAAAAATAAGGGATGATGAAGACGTCAATATCACTAAATATGGAAACGAAATAGTAGTTGATGATGATGAGAGATGAGATGGTAACTAATGAGACCCAACTTAAATTTCTCAAATGTAGTTTCAAGTGTAGGATAAGAAGATGTAAATATATGGAGTCTATTAATTTTTTTTAATATATAAAAAATAAATACATAAACAAAAAAAATTAAAATTAAATTAAAAATGGCACAATAGTCTTTTGAGGTAGGACAGTGACCAAATGCACAACAAAAATAAATAGTAAGGATCATCCAAATTAAAAAATAAATTATGGACCAAACGCACATATTACCCAAACTACAGGGACCATTCGTGTATTTTACTATTACCTTTTTTGTTTGTTCATATAACTATTTTTTTTACGCATCTAGTAACGAACTTTTTGAAAGTGTTCACATATGACAATTATGACCGGCTGTAACAGGTTACATCCGGTCATAACCAGTCATAATGATCATATGTGAACACTTTCAAAAAGTTTGTTAACTAAATATATAAAAAAAGATAGTTACCCAAATATAAACAAAACGAAAAATTGATTACCTTATTAAGTCCATTTTCCAACTAAAATTATAAAAATAGACGGACAATCTTTACAAACTATAAAAACCACACGTTTTAATAGTTGTCTAATTAATAATGTGACAAGTTTTGACAAATCACATAATTAATAGTGTAATTTTGTCTATTTCGAAGTGTTTGGACCAATAGCCCAATATTGCTTAATACGGAAGGCTTTTTTGCCAAGTCGGATGCACACGCACTGCACCGGATCCTTCCTCTACGAACGACACTGAAATCTGATTGGCTGCACACCCACCACCCAAAAAATATCTGCCACAGAACCATGAAGATCGGCGGTTCAAAATTCGACGCGCCGCCCAGTAACTGTAGTGGACTCCACCGCCTTTCCACCAGATTTTTTATGTCTCTGCTAAACGTTACCTATTTATACTCCATTTCCTCATCCGCCCACCGACCATTTACAATTTCAGTCTTCAATGAATCCGCACTTTTCTTCATCTTCTCCGGCAGGATCCGACCCGATTCTCCACACCTGGTCTCCTTCGCCGATCCCGTGCCAGCAGCCGCTTCCTATATCGGTAGCCGTTGGTGGGTATTTTGTAGTTTCCCCTAAAATCACTCTGTTTTTCTTACTTTGATCAGGATTTTGATAAATTATCTCTGTTTTGTTCTGGATTTAGCAGATACGACGGTGGAGACAACAGGAGAAGGGGATACGGATAGGATTCCCCAACCGCTGGAGTGTTTACAAGGAACACTAATCCCGCCATTTCTGTCAAAAACTTTCGATTTGGTGAGTGACCCGAGACTCGACCCGATTATCTCATGGGGTGGAAGTGGACAGAGCTTCGTCGTCTGGGATCCGGTGGAGTTCGCCAGAATAATCTTGCCCCGAAACTTCAAACACAACAATTTCTCGAGCTTTGTTCGACAACTTAACACATATGTGGGTAAATATTAGCTTCACACACTTGACCCTCCTTTAATCATGGGGTCACTCTGTTAATCTATATGTAAATGCTTCCTTGTATGTTTCTGTTTTTCTTCCAATTCTTCCAGCTGTATGTTCTTTCTCGTTGTAATCCGCCATTGTTATTGCATCTTGTATATACTTTCGATGTAATACTTTAACTAGGCATAGATTCAACCCCAAATCGTCTGTAATTTTTGATGTATAACATCATTGTAATTGTTTTCCTGCTAATTGAATGTATGTTCTACTGTAATTGTGTTCTTGGTGTTATATGATTTCTTGCACATTCTTTTTTTACGGGTTCACATGATTCGATCCAGGGATTCCGCAAGATTGATACAGACAGGTGGGAGTTTGCCAATGAAAGATTCTTACGAGGGAAGAGGTATCTTTTGAAGAACATTCAAAGGCGTAAATCGAATCAGTCAACAAGCAGTAACGAAGAAGCTGAGGTAGAACAATTACACAAAGAAAAAGCAGAAATTATGAAAGAAATCATCAGTTTACAACACGAACAGCGTGAGACGTATCGATATATGGAATCAATCAACGAGAAACTCAAAGCAGCTGAACATAAACAAAAACAAATGGTTTCGTTTATGGCTAAACTAATCAAAAACCCGCAATTTGTGTCTTCTATACAAGAAAAGAAAGAACATCAGCTTCATATTTCTTCTCCAAGAACCATTAGGAAGTTTGTTAAACATCAACCCCTTGACTCAAATCCTATTACAGCACCAGAAGGTCATGTCTGGAAAGGGAAAAACGTGTCGGAAATGGAATCGGAGGCTGCACCGGAAGACTTATTTCCGGTGGATCTCGGAAAAGGAAAGAATGTATTGGAACCGGTTTCTGTTGGGATTGATGATATTACTGTGAAACAAGAGGACATTTGGAGCATGGGATTCGAAACTAATGCGATATGGAGTGATGTTGGAAACTTTGAGTTGCCGGAGTTTGGCGTCGGAGGTGTTGACTCGTCGGATTTATGGAATTTAGGAACTTCAGGTGCTGTGAATTGGGATCGTTTTGATGAGATTGAAAGGCAAGAAGATGATAGGTTTAGGGAAACGGATCCATAGATGATTCGGATCTAATTCGTTTAGGATCATTTTGGTATATTGAATATTTTTATTATTTATATTATTTATTTTTTTGTTTTATATAATTTTAAAAAGAAAAAAAGTTTATTTTTTCTGTATGACTTTATTTCAAGAAGAGGTTACATGTGAACATGAACCGCTCATTACATGTGAAATCCTATCCTAAAGAATGAACTTTTTGTTCTATTTCAATAGAAACATCATGCTAATGTACCTGAGAATCCATAAATATGAATAAATATGGAGATCGTTTTTAGACTTTTACTGATCACATGGTCGTAAATAAGTCAAAAGGAAAACACAATCACAGTCATAAATTCAGAATTCAAGCTTATTTAGCTTAACCAAAGATAGAAAATAAACATTTTGACAAAAAAAAAAAAAAAAAATTAGTGTAATACATCTAATGCATGTTTTTAAACCAAATATCAAAAGCAACATAGATATTATTAGTCAATTTTTACATTCTTTTACTCCGATTCTTCATAAACAATGTATTGACTTCTATTATGTTTAAATAGCTTTGGATAAAGGAATGTATAAATGTGTCGTTGCTAATACTATATAATACTTATTTCTTAATTTATTACGATAGAAATAAATCGATTACTTATCGTATTGCGCAAACAATTTTTATCAACTTAATTACTGAAAATACAGGCTCCACGAGGATGTTGCAATGGACAAAATCCATGTTAATTGCAATAGAAGACATACCATTAGAGTATGTTTGTTGTTTCAACCATCATCGTGTACAAACCCATAAAATGTGTGTCAATCTAGATGTCATCATATAATAGCTAATTTACTTTTCCCAACGTTAGGTGTGTTTATACACACATGTTATTGTCAAGTAGACTCTTGTCTATGATTGAATAAAATATATTAATTTTGAAGTGGTGTAGGTAGTTAATTGTGAGTTGAATAAAATAAATTAAAGAAACACTAGTTAAATTGTGATCGAATAAATTTATTTAAAGTTAAATAAATAATAGAAATAGCAAAAATATAATCATAAAAAGTGAATTGAATGAATTTAATAAATTAAATACTCAAAAAATGTCAAAGTTTAGAAAATTAGAATTTACATGGATAAACTATGGAAATACTATATGTAATATTATTTAACTCGTTTAACCTCAAATCTCTAGTTATCTTCTTCATTTTGTAACCTAGGGTTTGGATTCTATTCTAATTCGGTTTTCTAAGGAGTTTATTTTGTTAGATTGAGCCTTTTGTACATTAATATGCCATCAACATCCATTGATGTTGCTTCAAATATAGTCATAAGTGGTTTTAAAGCTTATGAACCCTCGATTGGTAGTTATTCATTTATGAGCTTTTTAGAAATAAAATTAGTAATTAGATTAGCTTATAAATATGCTCTTGGATGTTCAATTTTGGTGATGAAATATAAAAAATGAAGTTAACAACACTTAACTTGTCATGAGAATGGTTTCAAGCAAATTTTGGAGAGTCATGAGTTTATTTGATGATTGAATCCAAATTTGCATTTGAATATGTTTGATAGTTAGATTATCAAACTTTTTTTTTCGATAATCTAAATGTGTCACACTAATGTTTTCATTTGTTTGTGGATCATGTAACTGCAAACTGAAATCTTTTTCAAGGAGTAAATTGGTGTTAAATCTGACTAAAATTAAGCAATCAAATGTGCATATTAACCCTAAAATTAGAGTCCATTTATCCATTCATCGTAGCATTCGTAAATTGATTACATCAGTATTTCAGCATAGCATTCACATTCGCAATATGGTGGTGAAATTATGGTTTTCTCCATAGCATTCAATCAATATTCCATTATTCAGTTGTATGTAAGTTGAAAGATGATAAATGCCTTTTTTCCGCGACATCGAGAGGCATGTCATTGCAAAAATGTATCAAGCTCTGGTATGTTTCGAGATAGAGATGATTGATGTGGTGGACAAGGAGAAGAGGAGGGAGATGGTAATGAATCGAATCATTGTCGGGGGATATGATATAATGAAGTTTGGGATAAAGATGCTCGATTAGAAAACATTATCAAAATCGATTTTTTTTAATATACTTTTCCTACGTTATATGACAACTAGATAACCAAAAAGGTTCCGGTGAAACAGTTAGCATTGAACAAAATTAGAAAATATAATGTTCGGTTTAGAATAAAACTAATGCAATGTCAAAATTAAAAATAAAAATAAAGAATGATAATATTCAAAAAAAAATATTTTAGGTGCATTGCATAAATGAAAGGGGATACATCTATATACGAAAGTGACAAAGGAACAAATGAATGTGGTTTTCTCTTGGATTTTCTGGGCTACCGAAATTAATGGAAACCTCAGAAATCATCTAGGCAATAATAGTGAGATTATACCTCCAATCTCTTCAACATTTTGTCGATAAATAAAGATAAAGAGAAAATAATCAATGTAAACCATCCACCGACCAAATCTTTTCTTGATTACACTCAACACGGGCCATATTCATTTAGCCTATATAGACACAGCTCGTGTCCGGCCCAAAACTACTTCTCTGCAGTTTTTTGGTAATTTGATACAAAATGAATTTGTGTATCTAAGAGATAACACAATTATATATATATATATATATATATATATATATATATAATATATATATATATATATATATATATATATATATATATATATATATATATATATATATATAATATATAGGGTTAGGTTCATTTGAGACCACCTATATTTTGTGAGACCGTGAGATGCATTTTTTTATTTATTTATTATTTTTTTTATTTATTTTTATTTTTTTAGTTAATTCATGTTCAGAAAAAAATATTTAAATTTTTTTTTTTGATTTTTCCATTTATTTTGCATTTTAAAATTATTTTTAGAATATGTACAGTGTAATATTCTATTTAGAATATTTCACGTATTTTTCAAAAAAAATAGAATTTTTTTTATTTTTTTTTTATTTTTTTAGTTAATTCAAGTTCCGAAAATAATATTTAAAAAAAAAATTTTTAGATTTTTCCATTTATTTTGCATTTTAAAATTATTTTTTAAAATATGTCAGTATAATATTCTATTTAGAATATTTCACGTATTTTTAAAAAAAAAAACGGAATTTTTATATTTTTTTTTATATTTTTATATTTTTTTTAGTTAATTCAAGTTCCGAAAATAATATTTAAAAAAAGAATTTTTGGATTTTTCCATTTATTTTGCATTTTAAAATTATTTTTAGATTTGGTCTCACGGTCTCACAAAATTAGAATGGTCTCAAATGAACCTAAATCTATATATATATATATATATATATATATATATATATATATATATATATATATATATATATATATATATATATATATATATATATATATATATATATATAAAACGTGTATGAATCAGCTGTATTTAAAAATTTAACAAGGTTTGTGGGACGCCAACATGATGTTTCAACTCTTTTCAAACGGGTACTTTTACGTTTTTACCCTTTGAAACATCCCCTTTAGCCCTTTTGAATGAACGCAAAATTCTTTGCACTGACTCATAAATGATCCAAGGATCGTAAGACCCTTGATTTTACGATTTTGCCCTTCGAAACATCCCCCCTTTCCCCCACAATAACGGAAACAAAATTCTGTCGTCTTCACAGAGAATCTCCATTGTAACTTTTAAGGGTTGAGTAGCGTAAAGTCACTGAGTTTTGTTCATGGAAATACCTGCTGGACGATCGAATTACACTTTATTGACTCAAATTCCCGACGACAACCTCCAACATACTCTTCCGGCGAAGTTTTCCGGCGGAACTGGTAGAGTTGGATACGAGTTACCGAAGAAGAGCGAAAGAGGAGGATTTGATTGGGACTTGATAAACTTGACTACCGATCAGAGGATGCAGCAGAATTGGCAGTTGCCATTTCCCGCGCCAATTGGTGGCTTACAGAGACAATCGAGTGGGAGTAGCTATGCTGAAAGCTCTTTATCTGGTGATTGCTTCGGTCCGTCCTTGTCAGCTGCGACGAGCAGTGGTGGTGGCGATCATGATGCTTACATTCATTTGCCTGATGCCGGTGATTGCGAGGCGTTGAGGTGGGAGATGACGGAGGCGGGCGGTGGTGTTGTTGTTGGTGGAATGTATTCTTCGTTGAAAAGTTGGGCACAACAAACGGAGGAGGGTTATCAATTGCAGTTGGCTTTGGCGCTGCGGCTTTCATCAGAAGCTACTTGCGCGGATGATCCTAATTTACTAGACCATGTGTCTGTTGAAGCTGCATCTGTGTCTTCTGCAGAAGCTCTATCACATCGATTCTGGGTATGTCCTTTTGTACATCCTACTCAATAGCACTATGATACAACTTGATAACTGGCTGTACTCATACTCTATGAGTAATTTTGTATCAGGCAAATGGTTGCTTATCTTACTTTGACAAGGTCCCAGATGGATTTTACTTTATTCATGGAATGGATCCATACGTATGGTCAGTATGCAGTAATCCTCAAGAGAGTGGACGAATTCCATCACTGGAGTCTCTAAAAGTTGTTAATTCTGCGACTGAATCTGCATTTGAAGCAATCGTCATTGACAGAATTGGTGATCCTAGCCTCATGCAACTACAGAACCAAACTCATAGCATTTATTCTAATAGCTTAACCACAACCGAAGTTGTTGAGCAACTTGCAAAGCTTGTTTGCAATCAAATGGGGTGAGTATTCAGCTCATTATGTACTTCATAAAAGCTTTGGCATATCTTCTATACTATCTTATAGACGAAATTTCTTTCCTTCACAAGAGGTGTAGCTTCAACAGGAGAAAATGAGTTGGTTCCATTGTGGAAGAAGTTCAGTGATGACCTCAAGAAACATCTAGGATCTATTCTACTTCCCATTGGTAGACTCTCTATTGGCCTTTGCAGACATCGAGCTATACTATTTAAAGTATGTTTCTGTTGTAGTGTTGGACTTTTATTAGAATCAAACGGATGTCTTATTATGTAAACTTTCTTATGACTTATACAGGTCTTAGCTGAGACCATTGGTTTACCATGTCGAATAGCTAAAGGTTGCAAATATTGCAGAAGAGATGATGCTTCATCTTGCCTTGTTCGTATGGGCATTGACAAGTAAACAAACATGGGAATTCATTGCTTTGATGCTTTCAGATTACTCACTTATGTGAAACTGATGTCCAATTCTTTTATTTTTAGGGAGGTGCTTGTTGATCTAATTGGAAACCCTGGTTGCCTCTATGAACCTGACTCTCTAATAAATGGTCCATCTTCCATCTCAATCTTTTCACCACTTCGGTTTCCACGTTCTACACATATTGACTCCACAGTTGACTTTGAGTCAATTGCCAAACACTACTTTCAAGACTCTGAATCATTAAATCTGGTATTTGAAGATCCACCTACTGGTAAAGATTCTTATAAATGCTTCAACTATACAAATTGCTTCAAAACATTGAAGATTTAAGTGTATTCTTCTTTTCTTGTTTGTAGGTGATGGAGGTGTAGGGGATGCAGTTCATCCTCAACAATCTGATAGACATGATGTTGATATCAATATGTCTGGTCTAGTGAACAACAATGAATTTAATCCAACAAGAATGGTCGAAAATGCCCCTTTACAACATACTCTTAATGCAGATGTTTTTGACATTCCATGGACTGATATGGTTTTAAAAGAGAAAATCGGGGCAGGTTCTTTTGGTACTGTTCATCGTGCTGAATGGAATGGTGAAGTAAGTAGTAACTCAGTCGTTATTTTTTTATTTTTTATTAAACGTGTAATTTTTCTTTATAATTCTAAATTCCAGGATGTTGCTGTGAAGTCTGTGTTCTTAGAACAAGATTTTCATCCGGGAAAATTCAACGAATTCTGGCGGGAGGTATTTTTTTTTTTTTTTAATATTTATTTTTCTTGAAATTGTTTTTATGACTTTTATGCTACTCTTTGTTTTATAGGTTGCAATAATGAGACGCCTGCAGCATCCAAATATTGTTCTTTTTATGGGTGTTGTCACTGAGCCTCCAAATATGTCGATTGTCACTGAATATTTATCAAGGTCCGATTTTATTTTTATCACAGATTTTTTATAAAATGTACAATAACCTAACTTTATGGTTTTATTTATATTGAATTACAGAGGTAGTTTATTTAGGCTTTTACACAAACCTGGTCCAAAAAAGATCTTGGATGAGCGACATCGCCTCAAGATGGCTTTTGATGTGGTAAATTAAATTCTATGCTGTTTATAAACAATATAATGATAATGATTAATGTCTCCTTTTTTTTATATATATAGGCAAAAGGAATGAATTATCTTCATAAACGCAATCCTCCCATTGTTCATCGAGATTTAAAATCCCCCAATCTTTTAGTTGACAAAAATTATACAGTGAAGGTAAACTTGTGATGCAATTTTAGGTAATAAATTATATAGAATATATTATTTATTCTGATTCGTTAATCAGGTATCTGATTTTGGCTTATCTCGATTGAAAGCAAATACATTTCTTTCATCCAAGTCTGCAGCTGGAACAGTGAGTTCTTTTTTACTCGACTCTATTTCTATTTTTGTAAACTGTTTGTGTATTAATTATAAATTATATTTATAACAGCCACAATGGATGGCACCAGAGGTGTTAAACGATGAACCATCAAATGAAAAATCAGATGTGTATAGTTTTGGTGTTATTTTGTGGGAGCTTATTACTTTACAAGAACCTTGGAGTAATCTAAATGCTGCTCAGGTTTGTGCCATTTATTAATCTTTAATCTTTATTAAAAACTAAATTACTCCAACATTTTTTTTATTATATATATTTTTGGTTTATAGGTTGTGGCAGCAGTAGGGTATAGACACAAAAGGCTTGAGATCCCTCATAATGTAAATCGTCAAATAGCAGCCTTGATAGAAGCTTGTTGGGCAAAGTGAGTTCAATGCCATTTCATGTAGACTATATAGGGCTATTTTTGTCTTTTGTACACAAACAAGAGACTAGAGACTGTCCCATCTTTTTCATTTCGGCAATGACCCATGGAAACGGTACAATCTATTGTGTGTTTGTCTCTTGTCCTGTCCCAGTCCAGTTCAGTCCCTATCCCAGTCCTATCAGATCAACATCAATACAGTACAACCTGTTGTGTCTTGTCATGTCTTGATGAAAAGTTGATATATATTGCAGGGAGCCGTGGAAGCGGCCATCTTTTACAAGTATAATGGAATCTTTGAGACCATTGATAAAACCTCTTACTCCTCAAGCAAGTGGTATGTTTCGGTACTATCATGATGATGTCAAATGATTGCAACTTTGCGATAGCAGAGGATATTGAGAGTGAATAAATAGTTGTATGAGTCTAGATTACGCATCTTATGGAGTGGATTTAACCAATTATATCAACTTTATGGCGTTGATTAACTTGGTGGCGAAGTCCAAGTTATATAGTAATCAAATGTGGTTAACTTTTTAATGTGTTTATCAAAGATAGTTATGCAGTATAGTAATAACAGTGATGTCGAAATTTTTGTTAATATTGTAACTAGTATGTCTCATAATAAAGTACAATTGTTTGTTGGTAATCATGTTGTGGAAAGTGATGTTAGTCGATTTGTTGGGGAAAACCATTTGGTGGCAATGGCTTGTCTGGTGCCGAAAGTAAACAAATATGTAAGTTATTACCTATGATGTTGATTCATATAGACCTAAGGTATGAAAAACAAAATGCATAAGGTCTATACATGGAATGATGTTAGGTATATGTTGCACCCGATCCCTGTATGCATTTAATTCGAAGTATTCTTATATTTTTCTCTGAGACTCGACGAGTTGGAGGCCCGACTCGTCGAGTAGAGTTGGGATCCGCAGACATTTTAAGTAACCTAATCGACGAGTCAGTAGACTAACTCAGCAAGTAGGTGTTGTGCGAGTAAAACCCTGAATATGAGGGTTTGCACCCTATTTAAACCACTTATTCAGCCTTCATCGTCCCTTGTGCTCTCAGAACACCTCATATCGAAACCCTAATCGTTTTTGTGAAGATCTAACGTCCTTTTGGTGCATTTGGTGACTTGTGAAGGTTGAGAAGAAAAAGGAAACTTGAGAGTTCGAATTGGGGCTTGGGGATTCAAAGATCTAGTACCATCTTCAGCCTAATCCAGGTAAATACCCCTGTCTTGGTCTTCCATTTGCTTAATCATCTTTAAGGTTTAGATTTTTGGGTGCATTTAAGGTTTTTAAGCCATTTTCAGGATTGTTAAGTGATTCATGGGCTACTACTTCAGATCTGAGTCATGGGAGGGGCCTCATGGCATAAAGGTGCCAACCTTATGGCCATTAGGGCCCCATGCATCCACTAGATCACTTTTGATAGCTTTTTGGGCCAAAGACTCCTTGCATGTGCACCAAGTTGGAAACTTTACGTGCAAAATTGACATTAAGGGACTAGATCTATAGTCTTGATGTGTTAAGACCCCTGATAATCGAATGTATGAAGTTGAACAAAGAGGGACTCGGCGAGTCATTGGAGTGTCTCGGTGAGTCGGGACGCTTTTTCCCCAAAATTGTCTTCTGGAAACAGTTTCGGTTGAGTGGAAGGAACACTCAGCCTGCTAAGGGTTTGTTTTGGACCTGGAAATCATAGGACTTGGCGAGTGTATAAACAGACTCGACGAGTCCAAGACAACCTCCCAACCCTTTAAGATAGACTCGACGAGTTGTTCATACAACTCGGCGAGTTGCAGACTGGACATGTTCATATGATGAAGGTGAACTCGACAAGTTGTTCATACAACTCGGCGAGTCAGATGAAGGTTCATTTGATGTCATTCTAGAAGGAGAACTTGTCGAGTCATTGCTAAACTCGACGGGTAGAGTTGGGTGGGGCTCAGATGAAAGGATAAGGACTCGGTGAGTTGGCGGCCCAACTCGGCGAGTCAGGTCAACTGGAAGTTGACTTTGATCCGGATATTGACTTTGGCCAGGGGTAAAATGGTTATTTTACCCTAAGAGTAGTTATCAACCTCTAATTAAGTGTTATGTGTCTCTGATAGCCGGAAGCCATCAGAGCAGTTGTTAGAGATTCCCTCTGCGAGATTCGAAACGCAATTTACAAGGTGAGTTACCTTCCAGTAACGATGGGTCTAAGGCCACAATGTCGGCCCACCAGTAGGAGTTGTATGTTAGATTATTGTCTTTGTGATATTCATCTAGGTGTGTTGCTACCTGAAATGTTTATGTGCTAGTTTGGTATGCTTTATGCGGTAGTAGTAGTATGAGGGGAATAGTCCCCAACTTCGATTGTTAGGACCGAGGGGTAAGTCGGACACTCCGGAATGTCTGACAGGGTAGGTCGAGCACCCCGGTATGCTCAGCGGGGTAGGTCGGGAACCCTGGTATGCATGGCATGGCGTAGGTCGGGCATCCCGGTATGCCTGATAGTATGTGTTATTGTATGTGTGGTATGATAGGGGAACTCACTAAGCTTCGTACTTACAGTTTTCTGTTTGTTTCATGTACCTCTTCAGCGAAGGGGAAGGAGCTAGCGCAGTAGCTGCACATCACACTCATACAAGATTTCGCATTTTAGATCTATGAGATTGTACTCTGATTTTATTGCTACTTATGATATGAGACATGTATGATGGTTTATGGATTTATATTGATATCGACAATGTTTTTAGTAAAATATTTTATAATCTACTTAATTGAAAAACGGAATTTTTGGACTCGAAATTTGGGATGTTACAAGTTGGTATCAGAACCTTGGTTTGATGGATTTGGGCACACTCTTGGGTGTATCTGAACTCAAACTAAGGACTTGGTATGAAAATTTTCAAAATTAAGATCATTCTATAACAGAAGTTTGAAAAGAGAAAAGAACTTTGAAAAGAACAAGGTGTGTGATGTGCACGACCGACCGAGCTCAAGTAAGTTTTCCCCAACTTACCCATACAAGTTTATGTTATTTTATGATATGTTTATTAGAACTGCATGCTAGATTAGGACTAAGGATCTAGGAGGATGCCCTGTGTGCATGTTATAGGTGTTTGAGCTATATGAATTGCATGCTAGTACCGATTCCTGAGTAGAAAATAAAACAGTGTGATTGGATTATGTGGCCAACTTTCCATTATCCGAATGTTGCTTGCTTTGTGCTTTGTGGGGCTCTTAGCAGTATGACCTAACAATTAAGTGAATATGCTAAGTCACACGTGGTACAGGATGGATAATCTCAAAGTGTTGGATTTGACCCTATTGCGCAGCTCTTGTTTGAGTCTAACCGTCATAGGGATGAGTCCTTTACTCGAAGGATTATCTTATCTCTGTTGCATGTGGCTATATTCATGAGGTAGTTAGATTATACTGGTGGGAAGTCTTTCAGTAGCTGAGGATGGGGCGGATCGGTGATATACCCTAGGGCAAGCCTAGGATGAGAGTAATGTTGGGAGCAATATTAGTAGTATAAGGGACTTGGGAGAGCCGAAGAAATCCTTGAGGAAAATACGAATAGATGTGGAAGGTAGTATGGTCCCGTACTACTGAAAGCAGAGGATCCGTACTCGAGTCAAGGAGGGTTGAGATGAAACCAGGAAACGTGTAGAGTGTGTGAGACCCCCGAGACTATGTTTGGGTTCTAACAGCTATGTGTTTTGTTTCAGAACGGTGATGATTACACGACATGGAGGGGGAGGTTCAGGATCGGGATCCGGATCAGGGTTCAGCTCGGGGGCAGGTGCTGATCCGATTGGTGAGGGACTGTGTGAGTTCATTACTTCTAAGATCACGAGAGGCACCCTTGAGTCGACCCCGGTGATTTTCGGGACGATCAAGGAAGGGATTATCGAGTTGATGTAGGATCGCCTCGGGCATTTCGGAGTGACTGGGCGTCTAGCCAGTCAGGAGTGTATACACTGTCCTTTAAGGATTTCAGGGTATGTGGTGCGCCAGACTTCCACGGGGTGAATGACCCCATCACTGCCAGGAGGTGGATTGCAGATATGAAGTATGCTCAGTTGACTAGCTTCTGCCCTGAGGGTCGAAGGTACGGTATGCTGTTGGGTGTTTGAGGGACATGGCAAAGGATTGGTGGGATTCAGTTGGTGATTCGTTGGGAGCCTCAGCGGTGGAGGCTATGACCTGGCCCAACTATGTGACCAGGTTTAGGGTCGAGTTTACGCCGGCTGTGGAGATTCAGTAGCTGGTTAGGGAGTTCCTGGACATGAGACAGACTACCGAGACGGTGGCGAAGATTACCGCCAAGTTTCGAGATAGGGCCTTATTGGTACCTCAGTACGCAGGGGATGAGGATATGAGGAGGACCCGCTATCATGACATGTTAAGAGTTGATATCCGGGAGCATGTCAGCTTTTCAGCATGTCCGACCCTGGATTCTATGATTGCTAGGGCGAAGGAGATGGAGATTGATCTGGAGCACATCCAGAAGAGGAAGGTGGAGGAGGGACAGATGACTGGGGTTTCAGGGAAGAAACCCAAGGGATCCGACGTTGGGTCGAAGGGCCATCAGGGTCGGAGCCGTTGCGGAAAGTGCGACAAGTCGCACGAGGGGGCGTGTAGACTGGGGTCGTCAGGCTGCTATAAGTGCGGCAGAGTTGGGCACTTTAGCAGGGATTGTACTGCCAACTCTCCCACGTTCTAGACATCAGACCTGATTTGCTTTCATTGCAATCAGAAGGGCCACATGAGGGCTAATTGCCCTCAATTGGCAGCAACAACGCCAGTGAAGGCGCCAGCCCCAACGACTCTGCGGATCACTGATGGACGACAGGGCAAGGCTGAGGCTCCAGTGATGAGGAGTCGGGCCTTTCAGTTGACTACTGAGGAGGCACGCACCGCACTGGATGTGGTGACAGGTATGATTTCTTCTCCCTAGCTTTTATTTTATGTTGCTTATGATTTTGATGTGCCATGTAATATGTCTTGTTTAGGATTGTTCCATGTGAATGATATCCCAGTTCAGGTGTTGTTCGATTCGGGCGCTACCTTATCATTTGTCTCCCTTGCGCTTAGCAGGAGGTTCCTTGAGCCTTCGGGCATGTTGGATTGCCCTTTAGAGGTTGATATTGTCGATGATCGATCAGTGCGAGCATCATCAGTTTTTAGAGACTGTGTATTGAGGCTATTCGAGGAGCGCTACCTAGTAGACTTGGATCCTATACCGTTGCGTGGGAACAAGGTGATTATAAGCATGGATTGGTTGAGCCCTAATGGGGTGGTGATAGACTACACATAACAGCTAGTGCGAGTCAGGATCGCAAGTGGGGGAGAGTTGGTGATCCACGGCGAGAGGCCACATCGTGGACCCACATTATGTTTAGCAGCGAGGGCTAGGCATTACCTACAGCAGGGTTGTGCTAGGTATGTCGTATGTGTAATGGATACTCGAGAGGCGGGTAAGGCGATGGTGAGCGATGTTTCGGTGGTGCGGGACTACGCGGATGTGTTCCCAGAGGAGCTTCCTGTGATACCTTCCGCTGGGGGCCTGAGCAGCAGGCAGTGTTCGAGACACTGAGACAAAGATTGTGCGAGGCGCCGATCTTAGCCCTGCCAGAAGGCGTATAGGATTTTGTTGTGTATTGCGACGCATCTGTTACGAGTTTGGGCGATGTATTGATGCAGAAAGAGCATGTCATCGCCTACGCCTCAAGGCAGTTGAATCCCCACGAGGCGAACCACACAACGCACGATTTGGAGTTGGGGGTAGTCGTCTTCGCCCTAAAAATTTGGCAACAATACCTCTATGGGGTCCTATGTACCATTTACATGAACCATAAGAGTTTGAGGTACCTCATGTATTAGCCGAATGTGAACATGAGCCAGCGTCGGTGGTTGGATGTGGTGAAGGATTACGATTGTGAGATCCTTTACCACCCGGGGAAGGCCAATGTGGTGGTCGATGTGTTGAGCCATAAGACAGCGCCGATCAGAGACATTTGCATGCGGATGACAGTAGTGAATCCACTCTTGGAACAGATCCGAGAGGCCCAGCAGGAGGCTATGAAGGAGGAACATCGGAAGAGCGATCGTATTGTGGGACAGGTTTCATCCTTCTACTATAATAGTCGGGGGGTTATTGACTCTTCA